AAACTGAGACTGAACTAAGACGAAGTAAAAGGACACGGACTAAGAAGTCCTTTGGTAATGATTTTCTAACTTATTTGTTGGAATTTGAATCGGGGACTCTATCATTTCTGATAGAGACTGAACCCGATATTCTAACATGTTTATTAGAAAATGAACCACGAACTTATCGTGAAGCAGTGACTTCGTCTGAAGGCCCTCAGTGGAAAGAGGCAATTAAAAGTGAAGTTGATTCTATTATGCAGAATCACACTTGGGAGTTAGTGAATCTACCTCCTGGGTGCAAACCGTTAGGTTCTAAGTGGATCTTTCGGAGGAAAATGAAACCAGATGGTTCCATTGATAAGTACAAAGCCTGACTTGTAATTAAGGGTTAAAATCAACGTGAAGGCTTTGACTATTTTGATACATATGCTCCTGTGTCAAGGATAAATTCCATTAGGATGATACTTGCAATAGCTTCCTTGCGGAACTTAGAAGTTCATCAAATGGATGTGAAAACAGCTTTCCTTAATGGAGATCTAGAAGAAGAGATCTACATGGAACAACCAGAAGGGTTTATAGTTCCTGGTCAAGAAAGGAAAGTATGTAAACTCGTTAAGTCATTATATGGTCTTAAACAGGCACCAAAAGTATGGCATGAGAAGTTTGACAAGGTAATGATGAACTCTGGGTTAAAAATAATGAATCAGACAAGTGTGTTTATCTAAAAAACACATCCCAAGGGTATGTCATGTTGTGTCTATATGTAGACGACATACTTATAGTTGGTAGCAATGACAAGATGGTCAAGTCTACCAAAGACATGTTAAACTCGCGATTTGACATGAAAGATATGGGTCTGGCTGAAGTAATTCTTGGAATTAAAATTGTGAGGAGACCTGGGGGTCTAGCACTGAGCCAATCCCATTATATTGATAAAATCCTTGACAAGTTCAACAAGGATGACGTTAGAGTAGTAAAGACACCGTTGGACGTCAACACACACCTGGCTAAAAATCGAGGTTCTAGTAACTCTCAAATTGAGTATGCGAGAGTTATTAGAAGTTTGATATATCTAATGAGTTGCACTCGACCAGATTTAGCCTGTGCCATAAGTAAGCTAAGTAAATACACTAGCAATCCGAGTGATGAGCACTTGAAGGCTATTGTACGTGTGATGAGATACCTGCGGTATACACGTGACTATGGATTATGCTACTCGAGATATCCACCGGTATTGGAAGGATACTCGGATGTGAATTGGATATCTGATAGTAAAGACTTGAAGTCCACAAGTGGATATGTCTTTACGCTAGCGGGTGCAGCAATATCTTGGAAATCCTCAAAGCAAACAGTGATTTCTAGGTTCACCATGGAGTCTGAGTTTATAGCTTTAGACAAATGTGGAGAGGAAGCTGAATGGCTACGCCACTTCCTAGAGGACATTCCAAGATGGGATAAACCGGTCCCACCAGTTTGCATCTATTGTGATTGTCAATCAGCAATAGGACGTGCAAAGAGTAATATGTATAATGGTAAGTCTAGACATATTCGTCGTAGACACAAAACCATTAGACAACTTCTCACAACTGGGATTATCACGATTGACTATGTGAAGTCAAA